TGTTTGAAGGAGTTTGGTTCTTTCGCGATAAAATTGACCTGACCCCCATGAGGGCCTGAAATATTTTTATGATCTCCCCTCCCCCCCACACTTACTCCCGTCAATACCAGTTAATTGACAGTAAATTTTGTAAAGTCCCTTAATATTTTGTTCACGACTACTGATTCATGCTTGGTTCCCCTTCAAAACTATGTGGTTCCCCCCTGTAATAGATAAAAACGTATCCCTTAGACGTCGACAAAAATTCTGAACTTATCGCTTTAATTTGAAAATTTGAAAGGTTATTGATACAGATGTATGCCCCACAAACCAGAGACAGAAACACGCCACACCTAGAGCTATTGATCCTATTGTTTACCTTTATTAATTTAAAACGAACCTTTCAGTCATGGTTAGTTTAATTCATTCTGCATGTCTTCAAGCTCTCAACGAAGCTTGAAACTAAGTTCAGTCCAGTGCTTTTCTCTGATGCGATGAAATATTACAGTTCAAGGAATTTTTTTCAAAAGAAAATCAAAGAGTTAGACAATCAAATGTACAGCAAACAGACGCAAATGGTGCGAGGAGCACTGTGTTGATTTGATATGGCTTGAGATGTATCAAATAAAAAAAGCAATAATGAATATCGCATTCTTTGAGATAGTGTGTATGAAGTGAATACAAGTAATCCGCTGGAAAACCAACTTAGGTCTCTGAATTATTGATTTCAGTAATAACTAGTCATTTCTTTGCTTTCTTAATCTTTACTTATTCAGGGCATTACAAAAGACATGACTATGAAATATAAAATGGAGGGCTGTGTCAATGGACACCCCTTTACGATCACAGGAGTTGGAAACGGAAACCCTTACGAGTAAGTGTCTCTTAAAAGACAGACTATAAATTGTTTTATTATCATGTATTACAATTTATTGTTGAACACAGAGTTGATTAAGATCATATTGCAGTCGTTAATATGGGCCTGACGATGTATCAGTGAAGTTTGGAAATTATGACTTTTGAAAAAGCAAAGTGAGTAATATTAAAGATTCCAAAGAAGATTTTCAGTCAAACTATGAGCTTGCTTTTTTTATTTTTCAAATTACCTATGTTCCAAAGCATCGTCTTCGTCATCTTTCTCCACAATCAGGCGAGGTGTAAAAGTTACAGCAAATTATCTAGTAAAAGCTCAGTCACAGCTTGATTCAAGTACGTACGATACTGTAATCTTTTCCAACTTAACATCCAAGGTTATGCAGTATTTGACTAAAGCTTGAATTATCATGAGCATGAAAATTTTGGTCCACCCTAAGTTTCGTACATTTCCAGTCGGATAAATGATTCGTTTCTGAAAATAATTTCCAACACTGTTTATCATCGTATTTTAGAGGGAAACAGAATGCCAATTTTGAGGTCCAAGGGGGACCCCTTCCATTCTCCTTTGACATACTGTCGTCAGCATTTATGTATGGAAACAGATGCTTCACTAAGTATCCTGCCAACATACCTGACTATTTCAAGCAAGCCTTTCCAGCTGGAATGTCATACGAAAGGACATTCATATTTGAGGATGGCGGAGTCCGATGTCGGTCACCACT